CCCCTCTCTCACACTCCACATACGGACACAAATGCCAAGGGGCTTCAAATTTACCTGCTAAGTGAGTCTCAAATGCCGTCCTTTCCTCTCCTTCTCTACTTATACGCTTGCTTTAGGCCCTTTACAACTTCTCTATGACAACAGTTCCCCGACCGAGCCCTCTTGACCTTCAATTTCAGCCCCCTCCAATCTCTCCAGTCCACCGCCATCACAATATAAACCTCACCATGTCACTCGACTGCTTCCAACTTTTCAGTGGTTATCCATTGTCTGGGAGATTCTTTCAGGATCTGGTCCTCACCTGCAGCCTCCACTGCCACCATCCACCTCCTCCTTGCTCCCAACACACACACAGACACACACATAATCCCGCAACAACACAACGCTACCATGTTTCTCTGCATAGATTATGGGATTTGGAAATTCCTTTACATCATGTAATTCTCTTTTTAATTTCAACACTATTTCAGCCACTTAGAAAACACACATTCACCTTTCAGCACCCTGAAGAGGTTTCACCCACCTTGTGAAAAGCCCTCCTTGGCCATCTCTACTAACCTCTAATCAATCGCCACTCACTCTTCCTTCCTTGCCTTGTACATACTTCTGTTAACGCACATATAACAACATTTTATTATTTGTTCCTGAGAATCCCGTCTACCTGTTTTGAGTTTGTTGGTAGAGCAGGGCCCTGCCTTTTTTTATCATCAAAATGTAAAAATGCAGTTCTAAGTCATTCAGTAAACTTTACCTGGACTTCACTAAAATAATGTCTTCAGCAATGAGATTTCAACGCACACTCGAACTACACCCCAAAGAGACATTTTTGAAAAGGAGGATGTGCAGATATAAAAAGAATACAGAAAATTTGAGTTTGGGGGGGAGGGGGTGCAGCGCGGCAAAGTACAAGATGCCCGGGAAAGCCAGAAATTCTAAAAAGCCTTTCAAATGGATGCATGGCAACAGAACCAAAAAGAAAACATTAGCATAATGTGGTAAAAATATTGCCTCAAGGACAGAAGCCTGACACTTGAGCTGATACAAAGCAGAATACGCCAAAGCCTAAAAGTACTACAATCCCTGATTCGGGTTTTTCCATCAGATCTGCCCTCATGAGAAATACAGACCTAAGCAACTATTTTGGGTGCAGAATCTGCTCTAACTTTCTTAGACTGTGTTGAAACCAAAAGAGTTGACTGTGTTCAGAGCTGGAAGGTAGGGGTGATCATAATCAACCCCTTCCATTCACAACAGGAGAAACTAGGGCTTGAGAGAAATTACTTGCCCAAGATCTCACCATCAGTCAAGTGGAAGATGAGAAACGAGGTCACTTTCACGTTTTCCGTCTGGGGCTCTCTCCACTACCCCACACTACTCTTCTGCAGGTAAGTTAAGGGCTACATTCTTTTATTTTATTTACACATAAAGAGCTGTTTTGCTTTCCTAATTCCAGCAGCCCTTGAGGTGGCATCCAGACTACATTTAAATGCTAAAAATGGCTTCCACAACTCACTGATTACTTTTATCTGTCACTCTTTTCTTGCCCTAACAGGGTTATAATTCTCACAGGATAAGTTCCATCAGGTTAAATCAAAGGCTTCTCCTAACAGTGCTGACACCAGAACATGTCATCGTTGGTTAAGTCATGACTCATCCTAGTTTATAAAACCTAGCTATCATTTCATTGATATTTCACTAAAAGCACCACCATTTCCTTTACTTAATCCCAGTGAAGCAGTTGCATTTTACAATAACAAGGCAGACTTGGTGGGAACAGTGACTTTTGCTCCACAGACAGGATCATCTTGGAATTGCAGAATTTGAGGACCACACATCCAGTTGACAGCATCTTAAGTCCACAAATAGGAACTCTGGGTTCCACCAATGATTGTAAAATCAAGTACATAATAAGAGAATTATCAAACAATAATAATATTATTGACTGAATGTGTTAGGGACTATTTTAAGAGCTTTATACACATCCTTACTGCCAATCCTCCCAAAAAGCCCAAAAGGGCAATAATGATACAGATAAGGAAAGCAGGCAGTAGCAGCACCAAATAGAAGGGGCCTAAGAGGTGGCAAGAGCACACCAAGTGGGGCGTTGGTTCTGGCCCTTCTTACAGAGCAATCAGCGCCCAGCTTGTCAGACTGCATGCAGATCTGAGGTGGTGAGAACCTTGATGTACAAGCAAAGCACAACGATTTTACTCAGGCAGAGTATTTATGGAGCAGGACAGGAAGGACTATGGCCACCCTCCCCCCTGATCCCATGTACCTCCCAGCACCACACAAAAACCAAGGGCCCCAAAGATGGATGGCTCTGTCCAAAGTGATGGAGCAAGTTAAGTGTGGCCAGAGCTGGCACTTGAACCCAGGCTTGTGTGGTTGCAAAGTCCTTTCTCTTTGTACTCTTCCCCACTAGCTCTGCTCTGTAAATGCCCCCAGATGTCCTAAGAACCATGTAAAAATAATAGCTACAATTTCACAAATCATGAGGTACGAAAAATAAATTATACCTCTGAGAACCCTAACCTACCAACTGGAAAGAAAATTTTCTAATGCCCTAGAATAGCATGTGTGCTACAGATTTAACACCTCCTAAGGTAGGGCTCAAGTATACTTTAAAACGCACATTCACACACAATTGACAGGACACTTTTAAAATAAAATTTTGATAGGGATTTGGGAGAGGGTAGCAGAGAAGGGAAGAGTCTCCCTTAAAAGACCAAAACTGGTTTAGAACCAAGCTGGTTTCATAAGAATAAAAAAATTTTTTTATTATGCCAAATACTGAATTTAAAAACTGAATGTAATCCAAGAACATTCAATATCTGAATCATAATTCGAGAGCCTGGAATGCTGACATTTAAGAGAGAAATCATTCACTCATTCAACAAACCTTAGGTAGGCCTGTGTTAGGAGGTATTCTGGAGGCCACAAGACGAGCACAGCATAGTCTCTGCCTAGAAGTGCCTACAGCATAATTAGAAATCTTGGATTAACACATGTGAAAAAATTAAAAAGCAGCAAATGAACAAATTCCAAAAGGGTGGTTTGCCAAAAGTGGAGGAACCGAAGGAAGGAGACAACTCAGGGCTTTTTGGGCAACAGTGGAAGCACTTTAAGCCAAGTCTGGGAAGGAAGGGAATCAGAACTAGAGGCGGGGGCCAGGAAACACATGAAGGTCTAGAAACGGGAAAAACAAGGCTATTTAAAAAAAAAAAAATCAGTAAATACACAGCTGTTCTCACACAAGGGGAAACCGACGTGTGTGTGTGTGTGTGTGTGTGTGTATACCCATATATATACATATATATGGATATTCATAGGGTGGTAGTTAAATAAATTAGGGTGCCTCCAACAATGAAATAGTACGTAGCTGTAAACCTGAGTAAGACACCTTTATGCATACTATATGATATATATGATATACTGGTAAGTAAAAAAAGCAAGGTACAGATAAGCGTGTACACTATGCCACCACTTGTGTGTTTATACCTATATGCTCGTATATGCTTACATATGCATGGACTATCCATGGAATGATACAGGAGAAGGAAGTTAGAAACAGTGGATACCTCTGCTGGCTGAGGCCGGGGAGATTAGAAGCAACGGGCCTTGCTCTCTGCAGAAGCTAGATGGACTAGAGAAAACCCTAAATATCAGGTTAAGAAGTTTAGATGGCATGCAAACTCCAGAGCAAGGCTTCTCAACAACGGCTGAGACATTTAGGGCCAGATGATTCTCCACTGTGGGACTGTCCTGTGCAGCATAAGATGTCTAGCTGCAATCCGGCCCCTTCCATCCCTGGTTGTGACTGCCAAAAATGAGGTCTCTGGACATAGCCAAAGTGCCTTGGGAAGCACAATCACCCCTGGTTGAGAACCACTGCTTAAGAGGTACAATGTTAACGTTAATCTACAAAACATTATGCTACAACAGTCTCGGAAATGAACAACAAAGACAATCTACACTCAGATATGGATCTGGCGAATACTCTGGACATTGTTTTGAAATGATCTTCACACATCAGTCATTGTTTCTCAAGTTATGCTAATTCACATCCCTTCCCAAATCTGTACTGTTCACTTTTGACCACATCTACTCCATCACAGATGTCTCTTTTCTGTATTTGCTGAACACAAATGATAAAAGTTGGAACTGAAAAGTGAGACAGACTTCCGGGACTACAGAGGGAGTGGGCCAGATTCTCCAAAGGGCTTCCCAGTGGTGCACTGACCCTTTTGGATCTCTGCAGCACAATTTCACCAGTTAGCAGAAGAGCTCCACCTCCCCCAAGAGCACGTACTCTCTAGATCCAAGATCTTCGGGGATGCCCAAGAAGGCAATCTTCCCATAGAAATCTATCAGAAAACCGTATTTTGGCTTAGCTTTTTAAAAACTAATTACTGACTCAGTAAGAACATAGTTACTTCCATGATGCTAACAATGTTTCTCCTCGTAACTCCTCATGACCACATAAAGTGCAAGACACAGTTCAAAAATAATGCAAGACATCACCCCTGACTTCAAGATTATGAAGGCAATGATTAGTTTATAAAGCCAGGACAGGCTTTAACTAGATTCTGCAAGTCACAATTTTATTATGGTGAAAGCCATTTCTAATTTGCCACAATGAACCGGGGGGAGGGGGCTAAGACATCCAACAGGCTTGAATATTTTTCAAACACAGATCTAAAACTCGTGTTGATTCTCCTGCAGCTTTTCTTTCCGCAATGCCAGAAATCCAAGAGTACCTGGCAATCTTGGCTTCATATTTTGAAGTCACGGATTCCTCCAGTACTGTTGTAGGTGAAAAGTTCTGGATCTCATTCTCCTGAAATCACACTCTTGTTCCGACTACTTTAGCTTAGCTCTCAGAAGGCTGGCTCCCATTTGTGGAGGTGACCTCCAGTGACCTGACTCTGCAATCAATACACCTGTGAGTCGCTATGGAAGGTGCTTAAAAGTGTCCGCGGCGAAGAAAGGAAACTCACCATTCTAACTACTTCAGGGTAAGTCTGCTCTGTCAAACAGCCTCTGCTTATTGTAATGTAGTCCACCAGTTCATTAAGAGTGGAGCGCTTGTATTCTTTCATTTTAAGATCAGATAGCGTGTCCATGAAGTCAAAAATGACACAGCACTGCTGAAGTTTCTTTAGGAACAGTTCAGGCTGCTCTGAGGATGGAACGTCTAAGAAAAAAAAAGGAAATGGTGTGAGTCTGTCATCAATTTCTAGGTAACAGGAATTCTCTGTGAAAGTTACTTCAAAAGCAAGCTCAAAAAAATAAAAATTCACATGACAACAGTGTTCTTTTTTAACAATTACACATGGGCGGGAGGGGATACCATAGCCACTACATCAGAGACCTTATCTTTGAAAACTACATGGTACCAACACAATGGACAAGCATTTGCTATTCCACAACCAAAGACTGACCAAAATCCCAAGAGCCATTAGAAAGTTGAAGCATATTTTAACCAAAAACACCCCCATGTCAAAACCCCTGAGCCAAAAACACTGAAAAAGGTCAAACTTCCCATTATAAGGTAAAGCCAGAAGTTTTCACTGCTGGTTTAAATTAGTTTTACTAAAAAAATTTCAAAGCAGAAATGTCAGTAAATTCATTTTAATTTCATGCTGACACCCTTGGTATTTAAAGCAACTGTTGTATGTGTATGTTTACATTTTTTGTTTTGGTTTGGCTTGACATCTATTAAGTTTCTTTGTCAAAGAAACTTGAAAAACCAACAAGATGAAGTAATATCAAATCTCTCAAAAAGAACACACCAGTAATGGGACAGTAAGAGTAGACTCTACTTAAATCTATGCTCTCTCTTTTGACCCATCTTATTCCCTCACAGTGGGAGAAAACCACTAGCAGCTTCATTAATATGTTCTTAGAATAAACATCTGTTCTTTTCCCACAAATGGGACATCAGACATTTGGTTTGGTATCATTTCTAAAAACTAGATAAAATTTTTAGGTTAAAATTCCCCAGTTAGAATGAAAACCTAATCTACAGCTGGACTTGAAGCACACCAAGTTGTGGATGACCCATTCCATTCCTGTTTTATTTTCACTATTTTATTCCCCAAACTGGAACTTCTCTGCAAAGGCAATGAAATTATAACCAGAGTAGGCTGCTGCCTTCATCCAAGGTGATTAACACATTAATCCTCAAAACACTCTTAGAGGTAAGCAGGTGGCATTCTATTATTATTCTCCATTTTTCCAAAAAGAAAATTCAAGGTAGTCACTGAGGTCCCACAATGAATGAGTTTCGGAGCTGGGCACAGTGCCCAGGTCTCTAACCACATTTCCACATTCCCTTTGTACTACTCAAGATAGACTTTAACAATGTTTGGCCAGTCACTTGCAACCACCCTCAGTTGCCAGCCTCCCTGTAAATGCTCTACAGCAGACATAAAGCACGAGCCACCTAGTCTCTGGAGGTAAGTGCAACAATTAACAGCACCCACCTTACAACCACCAGCAGCCCAGCAGACAGTGAGAGCTAGGCTCCTCTTCAGAGTCCACATGACTCCTCTCCACACAGCCCTCCTCCCCTGCTCACCCCCCACAATCCACATGCTAGCCCAAGTACCCAGGACCTCATAGGTAATTCCCCCCAAACACTGCCTCCTGACATCAACTTGAAGGTAAGCCTCGATGAGAGTGGACAGGACACCTGAAAACATAGGATTTCTCCACCAGATACAAAGGACAAAGAAATAGTCAAAATTTTTGAAGGTATATAGAACATCACTGCTAAAAACAAGATGTAAATTTAGAAATTATTCTTAACCAGTATGTTTCCCCTCACACCACCACCCCCACAGGTCCCCAAAAGCCTAATGTAATGTACCTTAGAGTAAAAGACTTTGGGATTTGAGTTAAACTATGAGATGTCTTATTCTATGCCCATATACTTAACCACTTAAAAAAAAAAAATCTAGCTTTAGACTAAGAACTAAATTTAGTCAGACCAAGCTTTCTCCTTAATTGCTACCTGTTTCAGGTGTTCAAAATAAATTAACTAGTTAAAAAATACTAAACGAGGCTGTTTATGAACATAGCTATATATCCTTAAACAACAACTAGTTACATGGATAGGACCAGTATTGGTTAATTACCGAAGTCTTGTAAGTCCTAAATCAGACCCCATACCTCAAAGCTGCATGGAAGTTCTGATGCTGCATAGGGAAAAAAAAATCTTATTAATGTTAACATCAAGGTTAAAATCATTAGAAGAAATTGTAATTAATCCTATTTTTGTTACAGTAACTTTAATAAAGCTTAAAAACGAGACCATCCACATGGAGAACTACATAACTCAGCACATACGGATTATGAAAGCATCTATAAATGACAGCCTTTCCTCCAAAAAGCAAAGCATCATTTAAGTAGTGACAACAATGATTAATCTTTGTGGTCGCTGTACTAATACTCAAGAGATTCATATATTTGGCTATTTTAAAAATTTCAGGCAATTAACATTTAGTCTTTTTCTTTTTTAATGTTAGGCCGTTGAAATTTATTCTCTATCCAAATTGATGTAATGTCATAGGCAAATGTGAAGGAGACTATCCATCTGCCTAATGGAATAATGATAAAAGCTTACATTTACTAAGCACTACTGCATACATTTACTATGTACTATTCTAAGCATTTTCACATATTATATCTCATTTAATCCCACCAACAATTCTATATAGTTGGTACTATTGCCAATTTAACAGATGAAAAAAATCAAGACACAAAGAAAGTCAGTGACTTGCCCAGAATCATACAGCCAACAAGCAGTGGAGACAGGATTCAAATGCAGGTGGACTGGCTCCAGGGCCAGAACTCTTCACCACTGTCCAACACTCAAACTCAGTATAAGGCAAGAAGAGGAATATCTTATTTCAGAAAACTGGGTGTGTGCAGACATAAGAAGAGAAAGAACACAGAAAGAAATCAACCAATCTCCAACATGCCCCATTCATAAAGGATCAGCCTGAATGAACCCCTTCTCTACCTCCTCTCTAGCCCATTCCCAAGATTAACACATACAGCAATAAGCTATTCTTTGTCCTTTAGCACAGACTAAATTTTTCTAAGATGATCTCCTCTCCTTAAATTAAAGACTGACCGAAAGAAAAAGGAGTGGGGAGTGTTCCTCAAAGAGCCAATTCCATTATAGCAACAACTTAAAAAAAATTTTTTTTCATTCTCACTGAAGGAGTGCCTAAATCCGTCTGAGCAAAGGGCTCTTCTTGTAATGTCTGGCCCTCAGATTGCCTCAAATAGCTATGCTTCTCCCAAACTCCTTGCTTTCATCTCCCTAATCCCAGTAAGACATATAAAGGGGTAATATAAGAATGTACAACAGGCCAGGATCAGAGAAAAAACACTTGGAGTAATCTAGAATGTTTCAATGATATAAGTTTACTGTCTATGGAACCAGTCCCAGAAGCAGATAATAAATCTTTGTAAAGAAACATTTATAAAAAGTATCAGCTACTAGGCCATAAAGAAAATACCAGAAATGATAAAAAGTAGAAATTAGATAGGCAATACATTTTGAACATGAAGCACTAACACTAGATTTTAACAATTTAAAATGACCCACCTCCCAAATCCAAGCCACCTGAAAATCTAAACACTTTGAAATTAACTTAGATTGAAGGGGAGGGGGGGTGGATTACAAACATTTAGAAATAAAATGTAAATCAGAAAAATTAAAGGTCATCTCAGAAACCCAAAGCAGATGAGGCAGTGATGCTTGTGTCATCTCTCTTCCAATGGAAACCTCTGGTCTATACAGGCCATCCCTGCCCCCCCCCCCGAAGAATTCCATAGAATCATAACCATAAATAATGAGGAATCAATAAGTGATTATGTAATACCATGAAGGTCATTAGCACAACAACCCATCCATCCAATATTAGCATTTGTTTAAAGGGGAGATAACTGACCCAACTATCATAGCATGGTAAGATTCAAAAGGTCAGATTCTGCTGCTCTGAAACAACTCTTTTTTTTTTTTTTTAAGATTTTTTTAATTTGACACAGAGAGAGAGATCACAAGTAGGCGGAGATGCAGGCAGAGAGAGAGGGAGAGAGAGAGAGAGAGGAGGAAGCAGGCTCCCCACTGAGCAGAGAGCCCGATGCGGGGCTCGATCCCAGGACCCTGGGATCACGACCTGAGCCGAAGGCAGAGGCCCTAACCCACTGAGCCACCCCGGTGCCCCTGAAACAACTCTTAAAATTAACCTGATTTCCGGCATATGTTTCTCACCCAAGAAAATAATGTAACCAGCTAAGTGGTCAATCCACTTGGCAGTTACATTTCTCACTTGTACTGTCCCTCTTTTTCCTTTTAAGCATTAGGTATTTTCTCCCATATGCCTCTTTTTTTTTTTTTTTTTTGAAAGACTTACTTGAGAGGGATCGAGTGTGTACAAGTGGAGGAGGAGCAGAGGGAACTGCAGGCTCCCCACTGAGTGGGGAGCCCAACACAGGGCTTGATCCCAGGATCCTTGAGATCATGACCAGCTGAAGGTGGTTGCTTAACCAACTGAGCCACCCAGGCACCCCCTGCATGACTCTTCCATCACCATCTCCCAGCATCCTCTTACCAATTCTCATCAATAAGCTGAAGAGAATGACTACTCCCACTTACAAGGTGTTCATACCCAAACAATTTTAAAACTTACAAGTACGAGAAGGACTGGGAACAGGGACATAGAATTCAATAGTAGAGGAAGGATGAAAGTTCAAATTAAAAAACAAAGATTCTCAGGGCTCTGAGAGGGAGGTTCAGCTGGTTAAGCATCTGACTCTTGATTTCAGCTCAGGTCATGATCTCAGGGTTGTGAGATCAAGCCCTGCATCAGGTTCCTCACTAGATAAGATTCTCTCTCTCCCTCTCCCTCAGCCCTCTCTCTCCTCCCTCAAAGGGAGAGAGAGAGAGACACACACACACACAAATTCTCTTTGTGTCCAAAGAACAGTCAATAGAAGCTATGTACATTTTAGCCACAGCCCAACGCCCCCCACACACACATTAATGCACCCATGCACACACACACACATCTCTCCTCACCCTTACTATGATTTCAAGGGCTGGCTGTAGATTAGATGGTTGTCTGTAATTGGCAAAAGCAGCTCATTCCTCCCCTAGTCAACAGCTTCCATCATTCC